TATACATGGATTGAAGACAGATTGTGCCCACAAGGGTCATCACTTTCCCATGAAAGGCCAGCTGCTGAATGTATGATAGGATGCTTCTGCCTGTGGTAACAGTCAACGAAGCATCGAGGCTTCACACTTAGACATCTTTTGTTCTTCAGACAGAGTATATTATTGAGACAGAAGCTTAATATGTCTTGTGTTTCAATGGAAGGCCTCGAGTTTATATTTCACAAGATGATAGGGAAAAGAGGGGAAGAAACAGAGATGTGTAACAATTGAAGTCTTAATACTCAGCAAACATATTTGACCAAATATGTTTGCTGCTTCTGGTTGAATTCCAACTCACACTGATCATTAAAGCCAGTCATTACTCACTTGAAACGAGGGTTAATGCATGGCTTTTAGGCAGACAGTTACAAAGCTTTTGTCTGTTGTGATTGTATTAACATTCAGTCACTTGAAAAGCGCCGAGTGTAAAATATCTGCGTCAAAAAAAAAAGGTGTATTTTTCTACCGATACTGAAGACTGAGGCGTTATCGCGAGACTTTTTTGTTGTTGCCGTTAGCGTGCGTAGCAACCACTGTTGTCTCGGTGCTTTGCCCCGCCTTCTTTGCGAGAACTACTTATCGTGACCAATCAAATTCCACAATGGGCCTGCTCCGCCAATAGAAATCGTGTGTGTATGTGTGTGTGGGAGGGATGGAGGGATGTCCCTTAACACGGTGCCGTGTTTCGTGTGGAAAGTTTACCGGCTCGGGTGCAAAGTTTCAGCCGTCTGCAAAGCGAGGGTTCGTCGGCTAACGCTTTTTTTTGGGGGGGAATGTGCTAGTGACGACAACGGGTTTATTTTCCACGTAGCTCGAAGCGTTTCATCGGATAAATATCACCGGCAGCGGGGTGGTTTTCCGGTTAATAGCCGAGTGATGCTGCTGTTGAGGGGGGGTTGCTTGGACAACGCTGATAGCATTTGATCGTATTGTTTTCAGGAAGCCAGCTAGCTCAACGTAAATCTGTTAGCTCGGGAGTATTGAACCGGCGAGCTTAGCCTGATCGAAAACAGGGAAACAAAAAAAATCGAAATTTCACTCGACGAAGGACTGCGAGGAAATACAGAAAGAAGCAAAATGGCTTGTGAACCTAATCGTGCCCGGCTTATGTGCATGCTGTCGTTGACTTTCGGGTTTTTTATTGTGGAAGTGGTGGTCAGTCGGATGACTTCATCCCTGTCGATGCTGTCGGACTCCTTTCACATGCTGTCGGACGTCATCGCTCTGGTGGTGGCGCTGGTCGCGGTGCGGTTCGCCGAGAAGACCCAGGCGACCAACAAGAACACCTTCGGCTGGATCCGGGCGGAGGTGATGGGCGCGCTGGTGAACGCGGTGTTCCTCACGGCGCTGTGCTTCACCATCGTGCTGGAGGCTGTGGAGCGCTTCACCGAGCCCCACGAGATCGAGAGCCCGCTGGTGGTCGCCGGGGTCGGTGCCGCGGGGCTGCTGGTCAACCTGCTGGGACTCTGCTTGTTCCACGGACACGCGGGGGGAGGGAGGCGGAGGAGGAGGAGGACACGGACACTCGCATGGAAGTCACGGACACTCGCATGGAAGCAAGAACAAGAGGGTGAAAAACAAGAAGGCTGGAAACGGGTCTACACTGGAGGAGACCAACAACCTGGTTGGAAATCACAGCAGCCCCGGGGAGGCGAGGCAGAGAAATGGTCCGTGTTTAAAAGTTGGTTATGAAATGATGTGCTTACAGGCTAATGTCATGTGTCCCACATTCAATCTAAAAGCATGTGCTAGACCTTATCTCCATTGTTAGCAGTCTAGCAGTCCAGATTGCGTAACAGTATACGTGCGTCTTCAAAGCACCCTAAGGACACACTTGCCTGAGTGACTAATCCTTATTGTTTCTTCTGTGACAGAAGACATTCAGACAGCTGTTTGTTGTTATCATGGGGGGGGGTTATTCTATCCTTGGAAACATGGCCATCTCCAGTGACACTGGTGAAGTTTCACATTTCAGCTATGTAAATATAAAAGCGTCTGTCAGACTCAGCCTAGAAACGTCCTGTTTTTTTTTCTTCTGGCAAGTCCAAACATGTGTTGGAGTCTAATCTATCAGAATTCCTGCAGCTTTCATGCAGTACTCGCACTGCTCATGAAGCGTATCAAATAGTACCAACCTGTTTGTGACACTGTCTGGTTTCCGAAACAACACCTCCACACACACATAGTCTTTTCTGTTAAGTTGCAGGTAGACGGTGGTTGGATTCCTGGTTGTTGACGTTAAAGCAGTTAGAACGCCACCAAAAAGCTTCTGTGGTGCTTGCTGGTGGTGGTCATTCTGTCACTGCCTATCCTCCTCCCCTAACTGTAGGGTAAAACCGTACAGAAGACCATCTCCCCCCCCCCCCGCACGGTTAGGCCTGAGCAGTTTCGATAAAATGGAGGCTGTTTCTTCGTCCTCTGTGCACTGATGGCTGTTACTGGGTCATACATCAGTGTAACAGTGGACTCAACAGCCCCAGTCACACCATTAGCCAGTGATGAACGACTCCGCAACAGCATCCTGGGATAGAAACAAGCAGCCGTTGCCCAGGTGCCTTTTCCCTCAGAGCTGTGTATGCAACACTGTATGCAACTACAAATTAAGGTTGCTTCAGGGGAATCACTGCAGATCGCCTGTAGCGTTCAGGATCCCCATGCTGGTAGTTTGGCCTTCATATCATTCTGCACAGCAGTGCTTAAGTGTTTGTTTCTCAGATCAGTTAAAGCACAGCCTCAGTCCTATGGGGGGGGGTGTCAGTTCCCACACGGTTGTCAGCTCCCACACGGTTGTCCTGATAACATTACAGCTTTAGTTCTCGCCTCTTTGTTTTCATCTCAAAAGTGCTTTGTTCTTTGACCCTAAATTATGTAACCTCACAATCTATCAACTGGCTGCCTCTGATGGCACCATCTTGAACTCGCCTTGCAGTGAGATACACCTTTTAAAGCTTTGTTTTCCTCTCTATGAGTTTTTTTATTTTAGTTTTTTCATTTCTGTATATGTATTTTAATTTACAACTTTCCCCCCAAATTATTCAACTAAACTCCGTGTTTTTATCTTCAGAAATCAGCCGTAAAGCCATCACGGAGGCGCAGATGAATGGCAACACCCACTACGAGGAGATGGACCCTGACCTTGAACACGACTCATCACAGCTCAATATGCGCGGGGTCTTCCTGCATGTGTTGGGTGACGCCCTGGGCTCTGTTATTGTGGTCATCAATTCTTTGATATTTACCTTTGTGTGGAGGCCCTGCAAAGCAGATGAAACATGCATTAACCCATGTATCAACAGCCACACCACAGATCACCAGCATGTCAATCACACGCTGGTTGACCTGCTGGAAGGTCCCACTCTGTCACCCATGACGATGGCGGGCCCCTGCTGGGTTCTCTACCTGGATCCCACGCTCTGCGTCATCATGGTGACCATCCTGTTGTACACCACCTACCCGCTGCTGAAAGAGTCGGCCCTCATCCTGCTGCAGACTGTGCCTAAGCAGATCAACATGCACCGCCTCAACGAGCGGCTACTAAATCTGGAAGGCGTCCTCGCCATCCACGATCTGCACATATGGCAGCTGGCCGGCAGTCGCATCATAGCAACAGCGCACATCAAGTGCCACGACCCCACATCCTACATGGAGGTGGCCAAGCGCATCAAGGACTTCTTTCATGACGAGGGCATCCATGCCACAACCATTCAGCCCGAGTTCGTCACGTTCAGCTCAGAGTCTCGTGACTCCCTGTGTGAGCTCTCCTGTCGGACTCAGTGCGCTCCCAAGCTGTGCTGCGGCTCTGCGGACAAACAGAACGCCGGCGCGGACAGGAAGGCCGGCACTGACTGCAAGGCTGCGTCCTCAGCTCTGGAGGTTATCAACGAGACCCCGGAGCAGGCTCTAGCCGTTCAGGTGCGTCCTCACTCAGAGGGCGCAGCCTCAGAGGCTGAGGTCATGATTGCCAGAGAAGTGGAGTCATCTCTGTGAGATGGAAGGGATGGAGAGAAACAGAGGAGAAGCTGGAAAACCATCACATCAAGCTAATTCCTCATTGTCATTGGTGCTGTTATCTTTTTAATCTGTGCCTCTGTCACAGAAATACTTTCCTCAGCCTTTTATTCTCTTGTCATTGCCTCCAGTTTTGGGTAAAATTCATCCCAAAAACACTCTATGTTCATGCATTTATACCCTTACTTTCCAGATATAGCCTTCTGTTTACCTATTTTCACCCCCCCCCCCCCCCCTCCCAGCCTCTCCTCTGCTGCTCGGCCCCTCTCTTTTTGTCTGTTGCCCAGGCAGTGTGGTGGCGATGCATGTTGGGGTTCACTGACCTTATCTCCTCCAGGACCGGAGTGAGGCCTGCATGAGTGTCCCTCATTAGCACCGTGTTGTGATGTGTCATCTTGTCCCATGGTGTTTCTGTGCCAAAGCTTCTCACTGCAGGACTGAAAGGATTCGAGAGAAGTCCTCCTCCCCTCCAAAAAGGACACACACACACACACACACACACACACACACACACACACACACACACACACACACACACACACACAACAAAATGCAAGTCAGAGCACACATCACTAGGTTATTTTGTTTAGCCTACGGACCTGTTTGCAACAAGTCTACCTTGTTTTGTTTTTAGCGTAGGCTTTAAGCAGATCTATTTTCTTACTCTCTGGCCCAAAATTGAAGAGTATTATATTGCATACTAATTTAAGTCTTTAAGTTATTAGAAATGATCTATTTCTCTTTGTAGATGCTGTTTGTAATATTTAGTTTGGCTGATAGAAACTTTTTTTTTTTCTGTCTTGAATATTTAGACAGACCATCTATGCTGTAGTCATTTATTTCAAATGTGATGTTTTTTTTTTTTTTTTTCAATGATTCTGTTTATCAAGACTTTCCTCTGGCCTTGACTCAGTTTAAAATGCAGTCATGAGTTGGATACAGAAGCCGTATCTACAAACTCTCTCACATTGCCTTTTAAACACAAACAACTGCTGTGGTATAGCACTGTAGACACAGAATAACTGTCTTGCAATGGCACAGTCACCTAGTGAAATGTTCCTTTACAAGTTTGGCCTTGCAAGCCAGAGGGTCGGGTCTGTTGTGAAGCGATTAGTACTGTATGCTATGATGAGGAATGAAACACTATTCTCTGTATGATTCTGTAATGGAAAGCTTTCTGGTGGTGTCTGTTGATTTAAGTCCAATATCCTAATGAATGTGTTCAGCACCTCTTCACAATCCATGCTGAAATTTTATATTTCCAGGATGTTTTACAATGTTTGCATGACCAAACTCAGACTTGGTGTTTGACTTTTAGCAGCTCCACTTTGAGCTCCAGTTGCTGCTTACCAGTACCTGCTGGTATTTTCCCAACATTACTCATTACTGTGTAGGGAATGACTCGTGTTGAGTCTGATTTGTACTTCTGCATTGAATCTAGGCCGTAGCATACACCATGGTTTCTAGCACAGTTACGCAGACACACCAAGGTACAAGTATGTATAGTGCTCATGATGACATAGTCAACCCGGTGTAGCTACGGTGCAGATTTGACCTAGAAGTACATAACTCAGGCTTTGTAGTTTTTCTGTCCTCTGCTGTGGACTGCTGAGCCAGCCCTTTTTTTTTTTTTTTTTTGCTGAATTGAAGACCATATGGTGGCCTTGGAAACTTTATGAATTTTCACTCATCACTACAGATATCATTAGAAGGTGATCCATCAAAGTATTTCAGATTTCCACTCCCGTGTCAATGTGTATGCAATATAGAATTTGTGCTGGGGAATATATTTTGATGCGTTCCTTCATTTGTAATGTTGGGTCACTTTTATTCTGTGTCTTTTAAGACTTGAGCTCTATGTGCAAAATGAAAACAAGTGTTTTTTAATTTTAGATATGACATGTCAACTGATGTGTTTTTGATAAACTATATATATACAGTACTGTCCAATGTGTCATTGTGAAATAAAAGAAATATGGCTGTTTGGTACAGTTTATGAACCAAAACTTTTTCTCTGTCTTTTTGTGAATGCATACAAACCACAAAGGTATGAACAACTCCCACAAAGGGATTCAAAGTTACTACAACAAATGTTTGTCCACCACAATGATGTAAAACCACCACAAACATGTAAAATGACATGGAGATGAGAATATATCAAAAACAATTTCTAATGGTGGCAAAATTTCCACATGGGAAAAAAAACTGTCAAACACACACGACGACCTCAAAGAGACAAAAAAACAAAACGGTCTGCAATAATAAAAGAATTACAGGTTAATCTACAGAAAAGATATGAAACCAAGACAGAACAAAAACTACAGTATTTCAATACAAACTACTAAGATACCAAAACTATGTCAAAGACAAAACATCCCATGCATGATGTTTCATGAGCACATGGACACATACAAAAATGACAAAGGGTAAATAGCTTGTTATAAAGCTTTTCTGGTCTTCTGACTACTCAATACACCTTTACAACGCAGGTCACACCTACCCATTCACACACTGATGTCAGAGGCTGCTTAAGTGGCCATCAGTATTAACTAATTCCATTGATACACATTCAAGTGTCTTGCCCAAGGACACATCGGACACGTGGCTGCAAGAGCTGGGGGAATCTACCTTCTGCTTGAGAGACGACTGACTCTACCACTGAGCCACATCCGCCCCTCTATGTCATTTGTGTCTTGTGTGTCTCAGAGTCTTTGTGTGTGGCTCCCACATTGGAACAATGGGGAATGACACTTGTAAAAATGTACAAATAGCAATTTTGAGACTATTTATTTTCACATTTGAATATGTTAAGTTGCACATTTTGCACTGATTTATTACACAGAATAAATATGGACGTTTAATGATGAACAAATGAGCCCCATTGCTTTAAATACTGCCACCCCGAGACCATGTGATACCTTTTCTGTCAAGAGTATGATTATCTTGAAATTAATCTCTAAATTTGGCAGGGAGCCAACTGGTGTAACTTTGAATCTCTTTTAAGGTTTTTTTTTAATCCTTGAATGATTGAGAACCAGTTTCCTAAAGACATCAGTCCAAAATAAACTCTTTTATTGACTTTTGCCTTTTAAATCCACTTTAGCCATGGAAGTGTAAACGAGATTAAAGCGGAGATTTAAAAAGAAATAAATGTGCAGAGGTCGGCATATTAGCTTGATGACACTCATCCGTTCTTCAAATTTCCCTTTAGAACCAAACTGATTTAGGATGCATGTATTGCTCAACATAGTGTCCATTTCTGCTTTGTTAAAAAAAAAAAAAATGCTTGGTTGTACATATTGCTTTTTATGTGTGATATAATTGTACTTGGTGGCTTCTGTTCATGTAAGTAAAGGTAGAATAACATTAGCACAATTGACACTGTGACCTGATTCTCTCTGCCAAATAAAAAGATAAAAAAATAAACCAGGCGTAATAAAAGTCCCTCCTGGCAGCTGAGATATGTTGTTCATAGAATGGGAATGATACCAGGTCACAGTGACCTCGACCTTGAGTATCGAAATCTGAACAGTCCGTCCCTGAGACCAAGTGGACATCTGTGCCAATATTTGAAGATATTTCCTCCTGGTGTTTCTCATGAGTCTGGTGCATAACATTATGGAATCATGAAGCTATCATTGAAACTCACAGGAACAAGTTGATTGTATGTAAGGATGCACACATGTTAAGACTAACAGGATATCACTCGCTCAGGAGTTCTGTCCAGCTACAAAACCTCAGACTTCGTAAACAGTAATAATGGCTGGATGTAAATCCCACAGGATCAGGTGTGAGTTAGTTGTGGTGTTGTCATACTGCAATAACATAAATCCATAATAGCAGCATTTCACAACTCCTCCCTCTGATGTAAAGACGCAGATTAGGGCTCAGGTCTGTGGTTGAGTTTCAGTGGAATTTCGGTGTGGCTGCAGGCTGTGATTGTGTGGCTGATGAGGCAGCTGCCAGGCCGGACGAGAGTTTTGCGAGAGGCCCGGGGGCATTCCAAATCAACAAGCACAGGGTTCTTTACCCAGCATTCCTCAGTGCTGCTTTGCCTGTTTTCACCTCACTCTCTCTCTCTCTCTCTCTCTCTCTCTCTCTGTCCCTTTTCATGTGGAAAGAAAGGGGTACACGGTCTGTGTTTGTGCTCTTTGTTCAGGTCAGGTGTTCTTTGCACCTTGGTGCAGCCTATTGAATGCAAACAGTGAAGTGGGTCTGTATGCATCCACTGCTGACATTTAAGTTTTGTGAAGCCCCAGTTCGCGCCGTGCCCACAAATAGTTTTTACATGTACATGTATGTTAACAAGGAAACATGGTACCTGCCTGATAACGTTTTCTATTAAAATATATGAAAAACAAAAGCAGGTCCATTCCTTTTAATACTAATTCCAGAGATCCACAATAATCAAGCTCTTTGCAACAATAGCTGCAGAAAACATACTTTTTACAGGCAGCAACTTTAATGTGAAACCAGACTGCCTGGTGGACGTCTGCTTGTCGGGACTGGATGGGCACAGAAAGTAAGATGGAGAAGAAGACAGAAAGAGACGGACCGACTCTCCGTTGAAAACAAGGAGGTCATGCAAACAAAACCTTCTACTGCTATTCTACAATTCTTTATTTATGAAATGTGCAGATTTGCTAGCTAGCAAAGCCATAAACAACAATATTGAAAGTTGTTAACCAACAAGTAACCCAATATAAAACAGGAAAATATTGTTTTGACTTATGTTGCTTTCATCAATATGTGTAAGTTACTGTTTTGGCGCATAGCAGGAGTTCAAACAATTAAAAAGGTGATACACACAACGGGTGCTTTACACACGACGCACAACATTAATCCTTAATCTGACAGAAATCCAGTACAGGGTCCAAGTCCTCCACACTTTCTCTCTCTGTGTATGCCATTTACATCAACCACAAATCATACCTGAGTGCAGAGTCCATTTTCAACACTTGTGAGATTTACTTACAATAATTTCATAATTTTAAACAATGCATCCATTTTTCATACTTATGGCAACATATAAGAAGCTTGGCATTACAATAATGTCTGTGAGCTGATTCCCAAAAGCCTCAGATAAAAAATTGACAGACACAGACATGGTTATCAATCTCCTCATGTGATGTTCTACAAGAATGCTGATAAGTGTATTTCAAAATAAATGCCCTTTAAACAATGTGTTGTGTCACATTTGGTCAGTTAAACAGGCAGGGGAAACCCCAGAAGAGTAGACAGACAGTATGTATTCTTAGTCCCTTACCAAATAAATACTAGTCCATCTCTGCTGTGTGTGTGTGTGTGTGTGTGTGTGTGTGCGTGTGTGTGTGTGTGTGTGTGTGTGTGTGTGTGTGTGTGTGTGAGAGTGTGTGATCGCGCACCAGGCCATCTGTCCAGGCTTTGTCCCAGGGATTTCAAACAGGGCGAGCAGGACATGAGGCTGAGTTCATGGGGGGTGAGAGGGGGGGATGAACATCGGTCTTCAGGGTGAAAGGTCACTCTGCTGCTAAAAGGTTTCACCTTTGCCAACACAGGCGTTTGTTAGCATACATTAGCTAAAACTCAAAAGACAGTCAACAGAGGGATGGACAGAACAATACAGCAGCAACGCAATGTGACATCCAGCCCTTGTGATTCTCATACGGGCTGTTTTAGTCTGTTAGCTGCTCGCTAGTTTATGAAATGTAAATTTACCGTGTGAAACATACTAGTTACTACACTCACTTTTTATCATCATTAGCAGGGGTTTGATCCATAAACAATTTAAACCGCTATTAGCTCTTCCAATAATGTCTACGTTTCTGTGTTTTTTATAATTCTAGCTGTATGTGATTGATATGTAAGCAGTTATTACTAGGTATCTGTCTCTCTGAGCATGTCATACCTAGCTTGTTGTTTTTTGTCTCTCTTCAGTTGATTTTTTTTTTTGTCTTCAAGACCAATCAGACTTCACCCTCTCGCCACCATGAGCATCCGCTGTCTTTTTAATTCATTTTAACCAATTAGGCTATCGGAAAACGACATTTTCTCAAAAATGAAATGCTTCACAGAGCAGAAATAAGCATAACTGTCAAATCCCCATTTACGTTTACATCACAATCAGACATAATTACTTACATTCAGGGGTTTTTACAGTACATACATGGACTTTATAGCCCCACCTTCATTGTTTAAAATACATTTGAGTAGATTACAGACACTGTCCCAGTCTGTCCTTTTCAAAGAAAATTAAATGAAGTGGAAGTGACTGTTATTGAGTCCAGCTTTTTTCAGGCTGTGAATTCACTTCTGCTGGGCCCAATTCTCTTTCAATACAGTTATTACAGGAGTGAGGCTTTATTCAAAACAATAAACACATCATCTCTTCTCCCTTGGGACCGTTTTTTTTTTTTTTTTTTTTACGTTGTACTGAAGGAAATCGACCTACATTCTGAAAAGCCAGATCATTACTTTAAAACAACACATCTCATCTCTCATTGTAGACTGCACCTGCTGATATATATTTTCTGTTGATGTTTGTGTATCAAAGGTTTTGGAATCTAGTTCTACTTTCCTTGGTTTTCAGCCTTAAAAGGTTCACTTGTTATATTTCACAAGACTTTTCAGAGCCACATGTGACAGTCAGCGCTGTGGTCTGAACAAATGCTGGTCAATTTCAGGTTATCTTTCAAAAGTAAAGCAGAAAAAGTGAACTGAAATATCGACTCGTGGTCAGAACAGCAGAACTTTGCCCTTTCAAATGGTTACAATGCTGAAGAACAGCCTTGTTTTCTCTATGTGTCAGTCAGGGCTGTAAAGATGAACTGATGACTCAGTATTTCATGGGTTCAGATGTGGATGGTGCTTATGACTTGTTTCACTTCCTTTGTTCGCCACTTTTGTATAATTTTGCTCATAATCTTTCCATGAAATACTCTTTGCCTTTTATTTTTGCCTCGCTCTATCTTTAAAACGAGTACTATAACCCTGCCACAAAATTAAATCAGTGAATTCCTGTCCAACT